CTGCACAGAACGGGCGGCGCGGCCCAGCCTCCAGCCCACCCCCGCCCCAGGCCGCAGGTGGCGCGGGCCGCGGCCTAACCTGCCGCCCCTCCCCGAGTGGAACGGCCTGCTCCCGGCCTCCCCCTGGCGCCTCGCGCGTTGGTATGGACCGGCGAGATGGAACCGTGGGACTAGGACCCCGAGGAGCCAGGGGCTGGCTCGCTCGAGGGCGGCCGGGGCGCCCCTCTGGCCGCATCCCTCCTTCCCGCCAGGGCCGCCGACCGGCCATTAGCAGAGGCCCGTTTTCTCATCCTTGCCTCGTCCTCCCATCCCACCGCTCACATCCGCTCACCTTCCCCCGCCACCCACGGCAGCAGCGCGTCCCTGCAGGTTTAACCTGCGCAGGTGTGGTCTCGGCCAGCCCTGGGGTGGGGCACGAGGGGAGCGCTGCCAGGTGGGGGTGGGGTGGGCGGGGCGACGTGCCAGGGAGAGGGGAATGGAGGCTGCAGGACCCCAGGGGGAGATGACCCCAAAGGCGGGGTCGGGGTGGAGGGGAGTGGGTGAGGGAGTGATTGCTTGCTTTTCTTTATAAAGTTTAGACTAAATTGCCCATCCCTTTCCCCTAATAAGAATTTTGTTCTGTGGAATATACGTGCTGTAGATGCACTGTGTCGCTATCAGTTTTACCCAGCCATGGAACTCTTTAACGTGCTTCCTCTCTTCATAGCCCATTCTCTTCTTTGGGGAGCCACTGCCAAAAGCACATACAAATCTAAATCTGGCCCTGGCCACTCCTGTCACCCTGGATCTGGGTATCTGAGACTCTCCAATCGCCAACTCAGGTTGGCAGGCAGCGAGGCTGGCAGCCGAGAGCTTCCTGGAAGAGCAGGGTAACCAGAGAGGGGACAGGCACCCCATTCTGTGAGGCTCTCCTGTGTTACAGGCAATGACTGCCCCAGGTGCAGGGGGCCCTTAGCTCACTGCAGAGTGCAAGGGCCCTGATAAAGAGATTAGCTCCCCAGCGCTGATTAAGGCTGTGAAGTCCCGCCCCCACCAAAGGAACTTGGTTCTGTCACTCTTGCAAGCCTAGCCTGGAGGAGGAAGTACTTAAATTTCCTTTATGCTTTCTTTTTGCTCTGTCATCTCAGTTGGGCCAATACCCAAGTCTTTTTTTTTAGTCACGCCATGTGGCATGAGGGATCTTAGTTCCCTAACCAGGGGTCAAACCCATGCCCCCTACATTGGGAGCATGGAGTCTTAACCAATGGGTCACCAGGGAAGTCCTGCCAATCCCTAAGTCTTAATCTTTGCCTTAAAAAATGTGGGGGGAGGAAAAGAAGACAGAACTAATTTTGTAAGACATGGTGGTAAAACCACTCAGCTGTGTCATGCTTAACAGCAAAAGACTGAATGCTTTCTCTCTTAAGTTCTGGAACAAGGCAAGGATGTGTGCTTTCACACTGTTCTTAATCAACACAGTACTAGAAGTTCTAGCCACTGCAATAAGGCAAGAAAAAAAATTAAAGGCATACAAATTGCAAAGGAAGACATAAAACCATCCCTATTTGCAGATGACATGGTTGTCTTCATAGAAAGTCCCAAGGAATCTACTAGATGAACAAACAAACAAACAAATCCCAAAACACCAAAACTAGGACTAATGAGTGCAGCCAAGGTTACAGGATACAAGATCAACACACAAAAATCAATCACATTCAACACACAAAAATCAATCACATTTGTTTTAACAACGTTCATGCTAACCATGAACATCTGGAAACTGATATTAAAAACAATATTATTTATGATGACCACAAAGAAAATTAAATACTTAGTTATTCACTTAAGAGAACATGTACAGGGCTTCCCTGGTGGCACAGTGGTTAAGAATCCACCTGCCAATGCAGGGGACACGGGTTCGAGCCCTGGTCTGGGAAGATCCCACATGCTGCGGAGCAACTAAGCCCGTGTGCCACAACTACTGAGCCTGCGCTCTAGAGCCCACAAGCCACAACTACTGAGCCCACGTACCTCAACTTCTGAGGCCCGTGCGCCTGGAGCCTGTGCTCCGCAACAGGAGAAGCCACCACAACGAGAAGCCCGGGCACCGCAGCAAAGAGTAGCCCCTGCTCGCCGCAACTAGAGAAAGCCTGCGTGCAGCAACAAAGACACAATGCAGCCAAAAATAAATTTAAAAAAAACAAACCTCAATAGTAGAAAAATAAAACAATCCAATCAGAACATGGGCAAAAGATATGGAGACATTTCACTGAAAAAGATAGACAGATGGCAAAATAAGCACATGAAAATATGTCCAACATCATTAGCCATTAGGGAAATGCAAATCAAAACCACAATAAGCTATCACTACACCCCTATTAGTATGGCCAAAATAAAAATAGTGACCGCACCAAATGCCAGTGAGGATACAGAGAAACAGAATCACTTGTGCATTGCTGTGGGGATGCAAAATCATACCACCACTCTGGGAAACAATTTTGCAGTTTCTTATGAATCTAAGCTCCTAACTGCCATATGACACATCAATGGCACTCTTGGGCATTTATCCCAGGGAAAACGAAACATGTTCACACAAAAACCTATGTATGGGGTTGTGGGGGAGACCTTCAACATGGTGGAGGAATAAGACATGGAGATCACCTTCCTCACCACAAATACATCAAAAATACATACATCTACATGTGGAACAACTCCTAAAGAACACCAACTGAATGCTGGCAGAAGACCTCAGACTTCTCAAAAGGCAAGAAACTCCCCACGTACCTGGCTGTGTGGCTGACATGGTCCTGGTGCGCCAGCTGGGTGTCAGGCCTGAGCCTCTGATGTAGGAGAGCCGAGTTTAGGACGCTGGTCCACCAGAGAACTCCTGGCCCCACGTAATATCAATTGGTGAGAGTTCTCCCAGAGATCTCTGTCTCAACGCTAAGACCCAGGTCCACTCAACGACCAGCAAGCTCCAGTGCTGGACACCCCATGCCAAGCAACTAGCAAGACAGGAACACAACCCCACCCATTAGCAGAGAGAGGCTGCCTAAAATCATAATAAGTTCACAGACACCCCAAAACACACCACCAGACGCAGTCCTGCCCATGAAAAAGACAAGATCCAGCTTCATCCACCAGACCCCTCCACCAGGAAGCCTACACAGCCCTCTGAACCAACCCTACCCACTGGGGGAAGACACCAAAAACAATGGGAACTACGAACCTGCAGCCTGCGAAAAGGAGACCCCAAACACAGTAAGTTAAGCAAAATGAGAAGACAGAGAAATACACAGCAGATGAAGGAGCAAGGTAAAAACCCACCAGACCAAACAAATGAAGAGGAAATAGGCAGTCTACCTGAAAAAGAATTCAGAATAATGATAGTAAAGATGATCCAAAATCTTGGAAACAGAATGATGAAAATACAAGAAACATTTAACAAGGACCTAGAAGAACTAAAGAGCAAACTAACAATGATGAACAACACAATAAATGAAATTAAAAATTCTCTAGAAGGAATCAATAGCAGAATAACAGGCAGAAGA